TTTCCATTAGTTTGTACCACAGAGTAACCAGAAGCTAACTGTAGTTGCTAGAATGGGTGAAGAGCACAGAGTCTGGATCCTTCAGTAAGACGACAGTATTTGACATCAGACATTCCTGAGTTCAAGGCCTGGCTCTTCCACTTCTTAGCTGTGTGTTCCTTGGCAAGTTACTAATTTATATATGTTGCAGCCTCCCCATCTGTCAAACAGGGCTGGTTATACCTACTTCATGGGGGAGCTGTGGATTCTGTATGTGTTAAAGAAGTTGGCGCAGGCCTGGCACAGAGCTTGGCCCTAAATGATCATGTAAGATGCTTATTCCCTCCATTTTCCTCTTTCTCTCTCTCTCTCACACACACACACGCACACGCACACACACAAAGGCTTATCCAAAGAACAAAGGAATGATTCTAAGAGAAGGTATGAGCCTTATGAACTAATCCAATTCTACTCAACAGAATCAATTTGATTTTAGTGATGCCCAAAGGCACACTGTTAAGATACGTCTAGACTGAAGAAATGGAACTCTTTACCAGGGAAGGAATTAAAAATGGTTATCTTTGTTTTTCTAAGGAAGCTATTTTTAGAAAAGGCAAGTTCTCAAACTGAGTTGCTTTCTTTCCCCTTGAAGCTCTCCGGTGACCAGCAGCTCCCTATGCCACTTTTGGAGCTCTGGTAGCATAGTGGCTAAGACACTTGCCTGCTAACCAGACGGCTGACGGTTCAAACCCACCAGCCACTCCTCGGAAGGAAGGTTGGGCAATCTACTTCCGTAGTGATACTGCCTCGGAAACCCAAGGAGGGGTCGCTAGGAGTCGGGGCCGACTCGACGGCACATAACAACAACAGGGACACACTGACCCTGCCTCTGGTTTCTTTAGGGTCCACGAGCACCCCCAATGATTTGTGGTACAACTTCATCGAGCTGCCTTACCATGGGGAGAGCATCAGCATGCTGATCGCGCTGCCGACAGAGAGCTCCACACCCCTGTCAGCCATCATCCCTCACATCAGCACCAAGACCGTAGACAGTTGGATGAAAACCATGGTACCCAAAAGGGTGCAGGTGATCTTGCCCAAGTAAGTACTCTTCCCTTAAAGGAAAAAAGCATGGGTCTGTCAATGGTATGAACTGTGTTAATAACAGACAACATGTGGCTAAATCATGGGCCATTACAAAGCCTGTTTTATTCTGGCAAAGTTGCATGGTGGCAGTGCCAGGCTGTGCTTTTTTTTAAAAGCTCTTTTTCACACCCTGTGCCTTTTGTATGGCAGGATAATTCTAATGGGAAAGAGACTAGGAGCCTCGGCCTCTGCAATTCAAAAGTTCCTCTTGACTTGACTGCAGGGCTTTTCCCATATT